TTCTACATCCAGCATGGATCCTCCTACTGCAGCCTCTAATAGCATCTTTGCATCATGTCGTAAGCCAGTATAGAAAATATTCAACTGAGCAACGTCATCAAATCCATGATTTGGGCATCTTCTCAACAGTGATTTAAATTTCTCCCATGCTTCACAAAATTGTTCATCTGCTCCTTGTCTTAAAGAAGTGATGTCAGATTTTGCTTTGATGTAACGGGATAGTGGAAAAAAATCTATTCATAAACTTTTCTTCTACATTACTCCAATTAGTCAAACTCTGATTAGGATGTGCTTTCAGCCACTCATTTGCCCTACCTGCAAATGAAAAAGGAAATAATATCAAATATACAGATTCAAGATTTGCTGCTCTAAATCCCATGGTATTAATTAACTCATAAAAAGTAGACAAATGAATATAAGGATCTTCATGATCCAATCCAGTGAATTGATGAACACTAATCAAGCTTAAGAAGGATGAATTCATCTGCAATGTATGATCATCCGAATGACAATGTTGGAAACACTACTAGAAAAATGGTTAATAGTGACCGAAATTAGTAACTGAAAAATTCAGTCACTGATGACTGATTTCCGTTTTATATTTAGTGACTAAAATTTCAGTCACGGAAATCGGTCACTGATTCGATCACCAAATCGATCACTGATTCGATCACTACTAGAAAAATGGTTAATAGTGTTCGAAATTAGTGACTGAAAAATTCGAGTCATTAATAGTAACTCGAATCAGTGACTGATTTCTCTTTTTATATATAGTGACTGATTTAGTGACTAAAATTTCAGATCACTAAACAAATAATATATAAATTAGTGACCATTTTTTATTTATATAAATATTTTTTAAAAATATTTTAATAATATATTAAATATAAATCTACTAATTAATTTAAAATAATTGATACAATTTTTAATAACACTATAAAAGTTTTAAAAATAGTTTATTAACTTATTAAATAATTTAATAATATAAATATTTGATTTTATTTTTTAATTTAGTATGTGAATAAAAAAATTAAAATTAATTATTAAATTAGTCACCGAATCGGTCACTCGATTCGATCATTAAAGTAATTATTAATTTAGTCTTTTTTATATATATAATCAATGATTAAATTAATTATTAATTTAGTCTCTTATATATATATATATATATATATTACTTTTATGTTAATAAAAATGTATTTCAATGTATTTATAAAAAAATTAAAATTATTTTAATTATTGAATTGATATTTCAAATTTATATTAATATTTTAAATAATTTAATAATTGGATAAATATTTTAAGTTTATATTAGTATTTTTATAAAAGTGGAAAGATTAAGTGAACTTATTTTAAAATTTAATTAAACATAATAATATAATATACTATTAACCACAAATCTGTGAAGATTTAGTTAGAAATTAATTTTAAGTTTTATCATTTTTATTTAAAAAAATTGTTAAAAAAATCAAAATAATTAATTAAAATAAAGAATTTTAATTTAATAAATCTTTTAATATTATTAGTTATTGGAGAATTAAATTTATAATAATAATTATATAAAATTTAAATTATTGGTATTTTTTTAATCATGAAGCTAAAATTTGATAATATTAATAAATTAAAATAAAAAAAATAAATAATTATATATATATATATATATATATATATCACTTTAATTATTTTAATTGAAAATAATTTCATAAAAAAACTAATATTTGAAAATAAAAATGCAAAAGTATATATTTTTTCTTTTATTTGATTATATTTTTATTTTTTACTTTTTGGGTTTTAGTCCATAATAACAATTTAGTTGCCCTAATTTTAGTTTAACCTAAAAATCTCATCGTCTTACTACAAAAATATATAATTTCTCTTATTAACAAATTTTTTTTTATCCGATTAAGAAAATTATTATTAATAAGATTCAAAAGCAATAACTTAGAGTTAGATATTAATACTCCAACCACTAAACTGTTAGAATTTTTTAATAAAAATATACAAATAAATTATATTTATATACAAATAAATGTATATCCAGTGTAAATATATAAATATATAAATAAAAATATATTTATATATTTTGATATATTTATATATTTATATCTTCGATGTGAGTGTCGAGTGAGTTTTCAAAATTTGATGTCAAATTTGTAGCAGTCTCTTTATATGGATTTGTAATTTAATGATAGAATATAATCTTTATAATTTATTTATATAATGATATAAAATAATTGTTTTCTTTATTTATTTTTATTTTATTTTTATTTATTCTTTTTATCTTTTTTTCTTCTATTATTTAATTAAAATTATTATATTAAAATAATTTTTTCATTATTAAAAATAATTAAATATTTATTTTCAAAATTATTTTTTAAAATTATTTAATTTAACAAATTATTATGAATTAATCTATGTCTGGAAAAAATAATTATTAAAAGATGATTTTGATTAATTTATAATAATATATGTTAGGAAAAAATTGTTCTATTAATAATCATAATTAGATTAATTTATAATAATTTGTTAAATTAAATAATTTTAAAAATAAATATTTAATTATTTTTAATATTGAAAAAATTATTTTAATATAAGAATTTTAATTAAATAATAGAAGAAAAAAATATAAGAAGAATAAATTAAAATAAAATAAAAATAAATAAAGAAAAAAATTATTTTATATCATTATATAAATAAATTATAAAGATGATATTGTGTCATTAAATTATAAACTCATATAAAGAGACCCGCTCACAAATTTGACATCAAATTTTAAAAATCCACTCGACACACACTTTCACCCTCGAGCGCACCCTCACATCCAACATATATATATATATATATATATATATATATATATTTGTATTTGTATTTATATATTTTATATTTATATATTTACACGGATATATATTTTTATTTGTATATAAATATAATTTATTTATAAATTATTCTCAAAAAATTGTAGTAGTTTAGTGGTTGGTGTATCAATATCTAATTCTAAGGTACTGAGTTCGAATCTTGCAAGTGACAATTCTTTCATTTAATAATAATTCAAATTTCTAAAAATTATAAAAGAATATAAAAGGGAGGTTAGAGACTATTTTAGTTAGTGACCGAAAATTCGGTCACTATTTGATGTTTTTGTTGTAGTGAAAAATGCCTTGGACCTTGTTGCACTATTTCTAAGAGTTATTCTAGGTGGATTTGAATTTGGGTTTTGATTTGTATTTATATTTGGATCTGGATTCGAATTCATATTTGCTCCTTCTTCCGCCATATCTTCTATAATTGGGTCTGGTAAATCAAGTGTGAAAGAAGAATTAGCATATTCTCTTGTAGCTTGCTCTTGAGTTTCTCTTCTTCTTCTACCCCGGTTCCTCCGAGCTGTTTTTTCAATCTCTGTATTAAATTCTAACTGCTCTGAAGATACCTGTCCTCTTAAACGCATAAATCAAAAGAGTAACTCAAACAAATATCAGCACAAACTAAAAATTAAATAATAATAATAATAATAAATAATAATAATAATAATAAAACAAAAACAGAAATAAAAATAAAATACTCAATAAGCTAAACAAAGAATTCTCAAAGAACACCGTTCCCCGGCAACGGCGCCAGAAATACTTGTTAAATTATTGGCAAGCGTACCAAAATTATCAATCGCAGTATAGTATTTCAATTAAATTAAAGTCGATCCCACGAGGAACAGTTTCAATGAAAATTCCCAATTATGCTTTCCAAGTAGATTAAACAGATTGAGTTTTGCAAACAAGAGTTGAATTGAAATTAAATGACAAAGAACTGTAAATGTTGAGAAAATATCAATTAAAGGTACTTATGATTGACTTCTTTCTTTATCCTCTTTTGTAATGACTAAATCAATTAAGAACGTCAATTAACCTAACAATGTTGATGCCACCTACTCAAACCATCCATATTGATTCCTCACACATGAAATTCATAAGAAAACCTAATAAACGTTGATTCCTCACACAATTAAGAGATTTTCCAGCATTAGGGTTAGGGTGTTAAGCAATTGATACATTTATTCCATTCTTGGCAATTAACGTAACAAATATTCTTACCGTGATCTAGGGTTCAAGATATATTTTCCAATCATACCCCAGACATCAAGAATAAATCATTCCAAAGCATAAAGGATAAGAATAACAACATCAAAACATAGATTAATATCTCAAAATATCACCATGATACAAAAGAGTTCAAAGGAAGTGCACCGAATCCTAAGAGAATGAAGTTAGCCACTCATGTTGGCCATTACAATGCTCTAATTGATGAAGAAGTGAAGAATTAATGAAGATTAGACAAAACCCTAAGAGTAGTCGTGTCTCCTCTTCTCTAAGACTGCTTACCTTTTTCAAAACACAACATATCTTTTTATAAGAGAATTTGGGTCGGGCCTCGCATCTTTCATTCGTTAAGTGTTCTTTTTTCTTTTAGTTTTAGTCCAATTATGCTGACAATTGTATTCCTTACTCTTGTATCAAGGTATTATCGAATTTATCTTATATTAAGAAAAAAATATATTAAAATTAACATAAATGAAGTAATTTCATAATAATTTAAGACATAATTATATTATTTTTAAGCATTTTGTATTGTTCTAATAAAACTCGTTGTTTATGAGAATGAAACAGGGAACTGATCCAATGGATTCCACCGTAATAAGAGTGCAGGAATGACGTCACTGATATAATGCAGAGTTCGCGTCAAACACTCAACTTTTCTAAAATATTTGGAGATACTTAAATAATATAACGTGGGAAGAAAAGGAAGGTAAAGAAAAATTAAAAATATTATTTAAATGTTAAAAAAAGAAAAGTCCATATATCGTCGCTCTTGTTTAAATAAGTGCAATATATTTTAATTTTTTAACTAGCAATCAATGATCATAGTAGAGATTATATAAGCCAATCCAGTGGGGCTCTTGGAAACAAAACAGACCAGTTTCATTAAGCGAAGAGTGTTGCGTTGCAGCAATGGGTTCAATGAATTACCAAGAAGCAATTGAGCTCTTTGAAGGCCAAAATATCTTGTACATGCAGATATTTGGCCACCTTAAACCTTTGTGTCTTAAATGGGCTGTCCAACTAGGTATTCCAGACATAATAAACAATCATGGTAAACCTATCACTCTTCCTCACTTGGTTTCAGCTTTGCAAATTGCTCCATCCAAGGCTGATTTTGTGCACCGCTTGATGCGCTTCTTGGCCCACAATGGAATCTTTGATATCCATCAGAGCCAAGCAGATCATGATCTAACATTTTCTCTGACCCCTGCATCAAAGCTTTTGGTCACTGGCAGTGGTTATTGTTTGTCTCCAATGGTTCTATTGAATACTGATCCACTTCTCATGAGTAAATACCATCATTTGGGGGAATGGATTCGTGGGGAGGACCCCACACTGTATGAGACTGCCTTAGGGACAAGTATTTGGGGACTTATTGACGGAGAACCTAAATACTTGAGTCTCTTCAGTGAGGGCATGGCAAGTGATTCCCAAATGGTTGACTTGGCTCTCAAAAATTGTTCTTCAGTTTTTGAGAACCTAGATTCCATCGTGGATGTAGGTGGTGGAACTGGAACCACAGCCAGAATTATCAGCAACGCATATCCTAAGTTGAAATGTGTTGTGCTTGACCTTCCTCAGGTTATACCAAACTTCACAGGAACCAATAATCTAAGTTTTGTTGGTGGTGACATGTTCAAATCTATCCCTCAAGCTGATGCAATCCTACTAAAGGTATGTGCTTTTTGCTCATTTGATTTGGAAAAGAATATTGCTATCGTAATTAAAACGTCTTTTTCTGCAGTGGGTTTTACATGATTGGAATGACGAAAGCTGCATAAAGATCTTGCAAAATTGTAAAGATTCAATTTCAGGGAAAGGCAATAGAGGGAAAGTGATTATCATAGAAACTGTAATAAATGAGAAGCTTGATTGCGAAGACATGACTCAAACAAAGCTTGGTTTGGATATAAGTATGTTAGCCATCAATGGAAAAGAGCGAACCGAGGAAGAATGGAAACAACTCTTCATTGAAGCAGGATTCAAAGACTACAAAATATTTCCCATTTTTGGTTTTAGATCTCTTATCGAGGTCTATCCTTAGGTACTCTCTGTAATGATGTAAAACAACATCACAAGTTTAGCTTTCACACGTGATGTCAACTTTGTGGATCTTTGTATCTCGTTCACTGTATTATGTTTGAATATTTGCTTGCTATATAGCAAAATTAAATTGAATAAACTTGTTTCTCATAGTAAACTTGTAAGCCCTAACATTGATATTATTCATATGTCATGCGTGTAAAGTTCTTTTACTATTTATTATCTTATGACTATTCAACTAAAAACGTTTAATTTACTATTAAGAGTTGGAGTTTATAGAGTTACGTATGTAAGTATGCATATTTGAAGCAACGGATCTGGGCATCAAAACTGAAAATATTTTGAATGGACTTTTTTGATTAAAAGTTTAGAATATATAATTATTGATGCAAGTCACATAGGAATTCTAACTTACCAACCAGCCCACGTAAGCATATGGCATTGAAGGATCCATATCCAGTTTCATAAATACGTTGACTATTGGCTTTCAATGAGTTACGGTTCTTACTGTTCTTGCAAATAAAATATATTGTTTCAGTTTATATATTTCTCTAATTTCAAGTCTGAGTGAAAAAACTTGAAAATAAAAAAGTAAAAACTTAGGTGACATATACCGAATTTGATAGAAATTAGAATTTTGTTAAAATTAACTATTTTTTTTCTGAAAAAGAATTAGAATGCTCTAGTTTTCTTAATTATTCTCTTATTACTCTAACTTTAAACAATTAATGCACCAAAATTTTCATGATGATTAACAGTAGTTAATTTTGCATATATGGTTTATTGTCTCATATTAAGACTATTACCATTTTTGTTTCTCTACTATTTTATTTTTCTATATTTTCCCAAAACATTATTTTATGTCCTGATATAATTTTTTCATTTTGACTTTCTAACCACAGTGAGGGACTAAATTAAAATTAGTTAAAAAATCTTGAGAAAATAGAAAAATCAACTGTATGTACTATTTAAATAAAATGAAAAGCATTTTTCTTTTAATAATATTAAAAGGTTAAAATTCTCTCCCTCTAACAAAATTTTCGTCCTATCTTTTATCCTGTTAAGGCTGCTATTGAATCAACATTAAAAGAGTATAGTTTAGTTTAAAATATAAAAATATTTATCTCTTCGTATTGTTAGGATTTGTGTTTTGCTTATTTATGTATTTATTTTTGTTCAGGGTCTATATATTAATACGAGCTGTTTTAAGATTCAAATAAATTCTTCAATTTTATTGAATCCAAGCCCATTTGTGTGGCATGCATTGCCATACGTTGGGCCAGTTTATTGAAGACGCTCTACATTTGGGAGGACCAAACTATATATAGTGAGGACCAAACAGTGGACAGGCACAGCAAAGTGATGGAAGTGACTAGTGCTGTTCATTCCGTTGGGTTTCTGCATTTGCAAACACACCTTCAAAGGCTTAACAGTAGAGAATTCTTCCTCTCCACAAGACCAAGGAGAGTGCAGGTTCCTCTTCCTTGTTATATCCACCATCATCCAAACTACTTAAGTAATGCCAAAGGTGGTTGTAGTCAAAGAACCAGTCTCATAATCAACTCCACTTCTGCTACTTCCACAGCAACCTCTGCTGCTGAGGGGTCCCTCTCTGAGGTGGAAAAGATAAAGCAGAGGTGTCTTACATGGCAGTGGAAGGGTCAATATTCCATCAACTACTTTGTTTCTTCTGATTCTCCGCAGCAGTTGCATGCCAACCACCCTCCCCTCTTACTTGTTCATGGCTTTGGTGCCTCCATTCCTCACTGGCGCAGGTAATTTGGCCACCATAACTAGTCATGTGTCCAACTTTTATCACTTCTTATGTTGCTGTTTTCTCGTCCACCCGTTCTTTTTTGCTTTTTAGATATTGTTTTATCACATTTGTATGGTAAGCTGGTAGCCACATAAAAAAGGATGACATACATTAATATGTGGATTCTAAGTACATAGGCAATGGATTGTTGTGTTCTCCCCCCTTATATCATATATCTATAGCAGCAATTGTTTACCCAAATTAAAATTTGTGCAAAATTTAGAAGCTAAATGTACCAGGAAATGCATCAGTGCCTAATTTTCAAGTTTTTTTTTAATAGGGGTTGTCAATCACCTTTTTTCAGAAACTTTGAGATCCCTTTCTTGTGTTCAGACAACCCCCTTTTCCAATGCCATTGGAAATTTCCAATTTCAAGTCTTTGCAAGGCAGAAATTGGTTGACGAAGAAAAGAAGGAACTTTAGGGTGACCAAGTTAATTATATTAAGTTCTCCATTGAGCTTGCATGTAATTTTGCTCTAGGAAATTTTTGTTAGATATTGCCTAGTTTAGATTCCAAACGTTAAATCCTAACAATTTTCATTGTATCCAGATGGAATCTTCACTATCTCAGTTAAACTAGGATTAGTTATGGAATGCTTGTGATTGGTAGTGATCTATCTGACCATGTATTATACTTTGGTGTCGGGCTCTTGGCTCAGGCAAATTCTATTCCAACTACATGAATTTCTTACTCAGTTAACGTGAGGTTTTAATCAAGCACTTTGGTTACAATTGTAGTTTTTTTTTTTTTTTTTCATTTTCTTAACAATGTTGTCATTGAATTGAACTAGTAGGTAAGTATTTATGTTTTTTTTTTTCTTCAGGAATATCAAGACACTAGCCCAGAATTATACTGTGTATGCTATTGATCTTCTCGGTTTTGGGGCTTCAGATAAGCCTCCAGGCTTTCAATATACCATGGAAACTTGGGCTCAGGTATTTGTTTGTTGTTTTAATTGGAGATCAACCCTCCAGCATTCTTCTTTTGGTGAAATCTCCAGCATACAACATTACAAACTGAACTTGTACCCTGTGTTCACTCGAAACAGTTGATCTTGGATTTCATGAATGAAGTTATTCAGAAGCCAACAGTACTAATAGGAAACTCTGTTGGAAGTCTGGCCTGTCTCATTGCTGCCTCAGGTATGTTTGATTTGTCCCCCAGAATCTGGAGATATAACCTAAATTTCTGTCAAACTGTTAAGCATATAGAGTTTGCATCAGAAACTTCTTTTTTGCCTTATCTATGAATTATAGTCTCCAATCAGATTCAAGCCAAACACTTGTTAGAGGCATTGTGCTGTTAAATTGTGCTGGTGGTATGAACAACAAAGCAATTGTTGATGACTGGAGGATCAAGTTACTATTACCCTTGCTTTGGCTGATTGATTTTCTACTCAAGCAAAAGGGAATTGCCTCAGCACTTTTTGAGCGTGTCAAGCAAAGGTATTCTCTTGGAATTGGGCCATGATTTTCCTCAAATGTCTGAAAAAGAAGCCTAAAATTGTATTGCTGACATGCAGAGAGAATTTAAGAAACGTTTTGAGTTCAGTGTATGGAAATAAGGAGTCTGCGGATGAAGAACTGGTGGAGGTAACACTTTGTTGTTACTTGTTTTGTTCTTAATCTCCTTTCTTAGACAGCATATACTAAGAATTTGCATTTTGATTCTGCAAAAGATCATTAGGGAACCAGCTAATGCTCCAGGGGCCTTAGATGCATTTGTGTCCATTGTAACGGGGCCACCAGGGCCCAATCCGGTGGTGTTGATGCCAAAAATATCCTTGCCTGTTTTACTTCTGTGGGGAGATGAAGATCCCTTCACTCCAATTGATGGACCTGTTGGCAAGTACTTTTCTTCACTGCCTTCTCAACAAGAAAATGTTGAACTCTTCTTACTTGAAGGTGTTGGACATTGTCCCCATGACGACAGGCCTGACTTAGTACATGAAAAATTGCTTCCCTGGTTGGCCAGTCTTCCAAATTCAGACTAAAATGTTATTTACTCAAATTGATGGAGCACTACTTGTATAGGTTATGTTCATAATTCTTATTTACACCAATTTTCTTCCGAGATAGATAATATATTGTGTTTGCCTTGGTAGGTTTCTTCATTTTTGTTTTGATCTTGGACCTTTACATCTGAAGTTTAGCTCATCCATTAATGCACTCGGTCTTATTAAGTATAAACGAAACAATATAAATCGGAAAATAATGTTTTATTCAAATATTATTATATTTGACGTGCGCATTATTCTTATTAGATACTACCATCTATCCAAGTGGTTAATTATCATGTCAATATTACTCAAGATCGATATTGTTTTGAGGTCGGATGAAGGTTTAAAATGTGACACATACAAATTACTTGAGGAATTCTAGTATTTTTATAGAGAAATATTTTTTCTTTTGCGTCTTTTTGTTATCATGGAAAATACTTTTTATTAAAAGAGTAATTTCAATAATATTTTCGTCTCCAATGAATTATTTTCTTTGTCAACTAAGGTATGCCATTAAAAAAAAGTATATATAAATATTTGGATGTATAAATAATAAGAAAATTTACTCGGAGATTGGTGTTTTATTTATTTAAATAAAAGAAAATATGAGGCTAAAAAAATAGTATTGTTGAGAAATTGCCCAGCTTTGAGGGAAAAAAAAAAAAACTTCCAATAAAAAAACGTTACTCGTAGTGGGTATGGTGTTGATTTTGGGTGGAAGCCCAACATATGTCGCAAAGTGCTCAAAAAAGCTATAATCCAATGAAAGTATATGGCACCATTATGTTAACAAAATATATAACACATGAATTCTCTGGAACATGTTGGAAAATCCTTGCACCCTCCTTTACAGTTCCCCCTCCAAACACCAAATCATATTCCAAATCTTTATAGAACTTTCTGCATCTCTCTACAACATCATATGCATGGAATCTTCAAGAACCTGGTTACCTTTTGGCCACATTTGTCCCTCTACGTGCTATATATAGGTGTGCATTTGTTTCATCGGTCATCACATGCTTGAAGACACAACATTGCAGTACTAAAGTCCAACCAAGCCTCTACTTATATCCATCACTGTCTGCCATTACCTCCCTTAGTACTACTAGAAATGAGGCTACAACAACTCAATTTGTTCCTTTTATTGCTCTTTGTTGCCAAAGCAAACGGGACTCTACTCCCATTCATAGATCCTCCCAGAGGCCTCTTGGCTGATCTCTGGTCTGATCGCTTCCCAGACCCGTTTCGTGTGCTGGAACAAATTCCATTTGGGGTTGACAAAGATGAGCAATCCGTGGCCTTGTCACATGCTAGAGTGGACTGGAAGGAGACCCCAGAAGGGCATGTGATAATGCTGGATGTGCCAGGGTTGAAGAGAGAAGAGATAAAGATAGAAGTGGAAGAGAGGGTGCTGAGAGTGAGTGGTGAAAGGAAGAGAGAGGAGGAGAAAAAGGGGGATCACTGGCACAGAGTGGAGAGGTCCTATGGCAAGTTCTGGAGGCAGTTCAGGTTGCCACAAAATGTGGACTTGGACAGTGTGAAGGCTAAGCTGGAGAACGGGGTGCTCACTTTGACTCTTGACAAGTTGTCACCTGATAAGATCAAAGGTCCAAGGGTGGTGAGCATTGCTGGGGAGGATCAGCAGCAAGCCAAGCTCAGCAAAGATGGGGCCAAGCAGGAGCTTTGAATTAGATGGTGGTGAATGATCATGACAGTCCTTGTGTTTCACTAGATGTTCTGTCATGTAACAATGAAACTGTTTAATTTATGAATAAAAAGGGTTCCACCAACACCTTTGGTGGAATGTGTTTCTTGTGTTCATCTTTGTTGATGATGAGTGTGTCCAGTAATGTACTACAACATTTCCTAATATCCCAATCAACGAGGAGTTTTCTTGTATATGATGTCTTCCACTTTTGTTTTCTTATGAACCTCTCTGTTTATATACTAATATTTCAAGATAATGATATTAGTAACGTGATATTAACACAATTCCAAAAAAAATAAAAAATAAATTGAAGTCTTAAACGAATATTATTGGTCCATTTTATAAGTATTGCAGATAAAAATAATGTTTTTAATTTTAAAATAATTTTTATTATAGAGTAAAAATAATGATTTCAAGCATTAAAGTAGTTCAATTTTAGAAAAAAATGTGTCACTTCAATCATTTTGTACTCCAAACCTGTGTTTCTTATCCTATTGTCTTCCTGACCCAACCAACTCACCAATTCAATCTCCCTAAATCTTCTCTATGTCTCGAATCTTCTCTGCGTGGAACAAGAACAAGCTCCACTTCAACTTCTTACCTACTCTGTTCTCTTCGTCGCACACCACCAATTCTGGGCTTTTCCGGCCCACGATTCCGAGACTCTACAGTAGCAACAATGGGGAGCCACCACAGGATTGGCCTCACGACGCTGCCGTGCCTTCGAAAACTCCTTTCACTGTTAATTTTGTTCGGGCCTCCGCTGGGCCCCGCCAAGAGAACATTGCGTGGGTCGGAGGCTCCAATTTGGGCAGGGATTTTCCGACTCCCAAGGAAATCTGCAAGGGTCTCGATAAATTTGTTATTGGGCAACACAGGGCCAAGAAGGTGCTCTCTGTAGCGGTTTATAATCACTACAAGAGAATATTCAACGGGTTTGTTTTTTGTTCTTTCGCTATCGTAGTTTATTCTTTTGTTGTTATGGTAATTCTTTGTTTTCAACGACTGAATGTTGGTTTTTTCACTAGGTCAGGGGAAGACGAGGGAATCTCCGATGGATTGCATGATGAGGATAATGTGGAGCTGGAAAAGAGTAATGTTCTCTTGATGGGTCCAACTGGTTCTGGTATGTGATATTATGGCATTCATTGCAAACTATTTTTATTTACTCATTGAGAACTATTAATTGCAGTTTGCATCACATTGTTTGTGCTTTTCTTGCTAGTTTCTTGAAATAACTATATTATATGGCTGCTATGCTAATCTAATTTCCATCAAATAGGGAAGACATTACTTGCGAAAACCCTGGCTCGTTTTGTGAATGTTCCCTTTGTCATTGCTGATGCAACTACACTAACGCAGGCAAGTATGTCTTGTTTGACGAGGTCGTGTTAGAGTTTGGTTTAGTAATAGTTGAGCAGGATTGAATTAAATGATAACATGTATCCAAATTTTTGTGCCTGATAAATTTTTGAGGTATTGAGTTTACCGAGTGATAGGATGTTATGCTAATTGGAATACAAATTTTTCTTCTAGAATGTTGATATTTAAATAGTAGTAGTTATTATATTGTCTATTTCTGATTTGTTTACGTGGTGGACTCACTATTTCTTTGTCCTTAGACAAAAGTTTTGGCGGTACTGATCCGAAAGGGGAAATTTTCTAATTTGCAGGCTGGTTATGTTGGGGAAGACGTTGAATCAATATTGTACAAACTTCTAGCGGTATGTTAGTTGTTCTGTATAAGTAATTTTGTTTGAGCAAATTATCAATTCTTTGAACAAAGTGAGATGAACAAGTTTTTCTTGTTCTTTGGAAATTTCCACCTTCCGTCCTAAATTTGCATAGCATTTATAAGCATGTATCACACTTTCTCTACATTTGTTGACAAACTTTACCTTGCTTCCCATATTGTTTGCCTGGGATGATGTATATGATAATGTTCCCAATGTTTGGTGCCTCCTCATTGTTTCTAGTAGATATTTTGCATGTAGAGGTCAGGAAGGTAGTGATAGTTTAACTTTAGCTCCTCGTCAATTGTGGCAAAGGATTGTCCATGGTATTTTTCATTGTGTGTTGCTCTACAAATGCATTAAGGACACATATTTGTTGGTCATAAATTACTGCTATCTTCATACTACATTTACTTTCTTTCCAATCTATGTGATTGCCGGGATACTTTTGTTATTAAACTGTATTTATAAATTTATATTTTTCAGAAGATATCTTGTGTTGTTTCTAGTTCTACTTGCCATATCTTTGTTATGAATTTTATTTTTCCCATATAGGCAGCAGAGTTCAATGTTCAAGCAGCTCAACAAGGGATTGTTTACATTGATGAAGTGGACAAGATAACTAAGAAGGTTCTTTGCTAATTTAATTGGCTGAGTTCATAAATGGGCTTCCACCATAGCTTTAAAATTTAAACTGTTATATATTACAGGCTGAGAGCTTGAATATTAGCCGAGATGTTTCTGGTGAGGGTGTTCAGCAGGCATTATTAAAAATGCTGGAAGGAACTGTAAGTAAAATATTCCAAAATGTAGTTGTTGATGATTGGTTTACTTCTTTGTAAATGAAGTGTTAAGGGAACATGATTGGTATTCTCCTATTTAATCATAACCCTTAAATAATGACCATAAGAAGGTAATATTTTGCATATTTACGCCTAAATTCTTCAACATGATAAGTAATTTCTTTGCTTAGGTTGTCTCGGTAATTTCATTTTGATCTTTTATTCCTTCATATGTGCAAGGTTATTTAACTTATCATTGATGCATTAGTGGAATTGTCCAATATATAACCAAAAACAGCATATTATTTTGCTTGTTGAGAACTTAGTTTTGAGATTCAAAGAACAAACTGTTTATGGAGACTATTCGATGGATGTTGCTTACGTTCTTACTTAAGGGAAAGTTGTACTGTAGAAATTTAAGACCAACAATGTTGTAATGATACTAAATGTTGAGTGTAAAAGGGAAACAAGAGAATATACTGTAGTAGAGGTCTATTAGGTTAGATTAGCAAGTTAATTAGGTCAGTGGACTGAAACAACAAGACATGCTATCTATAAATAAGAGAAAATGTTTAGAGAGATCTGTGTTTCATTTTGATAATGGATTATTCTTTCAGAGAATGGAGACCAGGAGGGAAAATGGTCTCTTGAATACCCTAAATATTCATTAAAATTAATTTCTTTTCTAGTTTCTCAATCATTTTCTTTCAGTGGATAAACTTGTTGTATCATCAACTATCTGTTTCTTGCAACATTGTAATTGTTTAGAAATCCATCAATTGTTTTACTAAAGGTTTTTGAAAAAACAATTAGGTGATTGGTTAGTATCATTCTAAAAGATAGTATCCTGAGCTTGAAATGATTTCTTATTGTCTAGATAGTAAACGTTCCTGAGAAAGGAGCAAGGAAGCATCCACGGGGTGATAACATACAGGTATGCTGTCTTGGCAAGTGGAAAATCTGTCATTTGTTTTCTTGTCTGAACTTTGATATGATATGATTTATAAATTTCTTGCCTGGTATTTTTCATGGTGCTGTCTTTGGACCTTAACACTCAGCATTATGCATTTATATTTTTGGGGGACTGGGTTACTGCATTTATTTTAGAATTATCATTTTTAAAGACCTTTCCATCACCTAATTAATATAAGAGCACTAATGGTAGAGGCATTAGAGGCTATAGGTGGTTGGAGGATAATTAGGATGATGAAAATTTAAGATGGATTAATTATTTAGAACCTTTTCATCTCCTTAGCAAGTATTCATAAAATTTTTCTAATGTTAGTTATTACGGAAAATATGTTGTGTATTTCTTATTTTGGAAAAGATACAAAGGAGGTATAAATAGAATATAAGGTAAATAAACTTATACATTAATTTATTCCTAAAAATAAGGGAAATATTCTCCCTATAAATGTTGTACATAAATGTGCATAAATAACAAAATAAAATTGATTATATTATTATTAAATCCTATCAAAATTAAGTTAGTCTAATTGATAGTGTTAATCTTTAACACTCCCCCTCAATTTAGGTGGTAGATGACTATCATATCCATATTGGATTTAATGTTTTTATATGTGTTTCTTGGAATGAGTCTTTGTCAGGATATCTGTTATTTGTTTGTATGATGGAACATGGTCAATACTTCATAATACCATGATTAATTTTTTTTAATGAAGTGTCGGTCAATTTTCACATGCTTTGTCGTATCATGGTGGATTGGGTTCTTTGCTGTGTATAGCAACTTTGTTGTCATACACTATCCTCATAGTGTAATTGATAGAAATTTTAATTTCATTTAACATCCTCTTAAGCTAGATTCCCTTACAAATATCTTGAGTCATAGCTCTGAATTCCTTACTACCATTTGTTGCTTCTTGTTTCTCCAAGTCACCAAGTTCCCCCACCACAAAGGAACAGTAGCCTGTAGTTGATTTCTTGCCCAATCTGAGTCAGTATAGACTTCAATATCTATGTTTGAGTTCTTCTTGAAGTAGAGCCCTCAGCTTACTGTACCTTTGAGGTATTGGAGTATTTTGTTTGCCATGTTCATGTTGGCCTCGGTTGGAATAGATGCACAGTGACTAGTCAGGCTGATAGCAAACCCAATGTTGGCTTGGTATGAGTTAGGTAGATTAGTTTCCCAACGAGTCTTTGATATCTATCTTTATCAGTTGGTGGACTTTCTTCTTCACATCTCTTTTCCGGTTCTATGGGAGTATTGACTGTCTTGCATCCAAGCATGTCAGTTTCTTGAAGTAAGTCTGGTATATATTTCCTTTGTGATATATAAATACCATCCTTCGTCCGAGTAACTTCCTTCCCTAGAAAATATTTGAGCTGACCCAAGTCCTTAACTTCAAATTCCTTGGCTAAAAGTCCCTTCAAATGCTTGATTTGATCATAATCGTCTCCTGTGATAAGAGATGTCTATTATTTCTCTCGGTGACCCATTTTGTTGAGATGTGAAACTAGTTCAAGTTCTCTAAATTTTGGTGTTTTCTCTTGCTCTCTCTTTAGTTTTCAGTCTAGTTTTCTTTTTGTCTCTTTAGTTTCACTTTTTCTGCTTTGTTTAGTGTTCTTCTTGCTTTACTTTAGTTGTTCTTTCAATTCAATCCGTTTACATTTGTTTTACACGAATTTCTACTTCAATTCATCGCATAATTATAGTTTGTTCATAATGTTGTTTCCAGCTTTGTTCTTCTTCATTATTTTCGGTTTTTACATTATTTTGGTAGTGATTTGAGCGTGATTCTTGTTGTTTTTCAAGCCTTAATCGGTTCCTTATTCATTAAGGAGAAAAATCATGTCTCATTAGTCAATTTTACAAAGTTTTCATATGTTGTTTCGCTGTTCTTGTTGTTTTGACGTTGTTTTACCATTTCAATTTTGTTTTTGTTGTTGTTTTGGCTTAATTTCTTTAATTTGATTGGTTAGAATGTTGTTCTTAGATGTTCTTTCAAGTTCTTTTACTTTGTTTTAGAATTCAATCGGTCAAAAATTGTTTTAGGAGTATTTTTTGTTTGGTTTGTTCATAACAAGTTAGGAGTAGTTTTCAATTAGGAATAACTTTTATATTTGATTGAATTTTTGTGTTTGATTTTGTAGAACTTGTTCTTCATAATCCTTTGTTGTTTTTGCACAATTTAGAAGTTCTAAACATTAGTTAATAGGTTTTTAAGTTTTTCAAACAATTAGAAGTTTGTTTCCAATTAATCTTTACATTCGGTCATGAGTAGTTTCAAGTTTTTGTCCATTTGAATTCTTCAATTGTTCCAATTTGTTCTTACTGTATTTTTTGTCCATATTTAATTCCAAGCATGATTTGATTCTGTTTTTGTTAATTCCAAATTGTTTTAGTTGTTTTAGTTTCTAAAATTTTTTACAAACATGTTACATGCATTAGTTTAGTATGGTTTAGAATTCTAGTCTAGTTTTTTGTTTTGTTTCGGATTATAGGCTTAATTCTTCTTAATTCTGTGTTCTAAAGCATTTAGAAACATTTTTAATTCTAGTTCGAACTTAGTTTAATTTTGTTTGCATTTTATTTGTTGCATATTTTAGGCAATTTAAGTCATAGTATGTTCATATGTATAGTTAACAAATGTTTTAGTTTAATTGCATTTTTTAATTCGGTTTTCCAGAGTTTTTTGTAGTTTTTACATCATTTCAATCATTTTCTAGTTCCAATTGTGTGTTTAATCAATTTGGTTTCTAGCTTTGATAATTGATTATTTTAGTTTCCATTAGATTTACAACATACAAAATTTTCTAGCTAAATCTGTCACAAAATCCGTAACTAGTTTTTTTTTTTTTTTAATTCTATCAATTTTTTTATTTGGTTCTTGATTTGTTTTTAGCATCTTTAGTATTTTTTTACCAATTTGATTTTACCATTTAGTTTTTAATTCCATTTAAAAATTTTACCAATTTCCATAAAAGCAATTTGGCACATTTTAGTTTACTAGTTTAAAACTCCTTTTAGTTGTTTACTTTTAATTTTTTTTTTACTTATAAACTCAAAATCCCCTCAAATTTACTTAGTTTTTTTTTTCATTCAAATTACACACCATAAAAAGAACAATTTGCAATTTCACTCCTTGGATTGATACTTGGTTTACCTCTTACTATATTTTTTAGGGAAACTAAATTTTGAAAACCTATGCGACTAAGGGTTTATCTACACATGAATTATGATGTATGATTACATGTCTCTCGAAGGTAGGAACTTAGTGTAGAGTGGTAATACTCTTGCCCATTATCACTCCTAAGTACCTTAATCCTACTTTGAAATTGTGTTTTCACTATAGTATGAAAAAATTTAAATTAGGGTTGAGAGGGTTTATAGGGTTGAGACGAGTATGAGCTACGGGTATGTTTGGATAATTGACATATTTCACATTAAAACAACTCTTGATTTTTGTTGAATAATGTGGGAAACATTCTTCTTAAGTACATAAAATTTGGGTGGCCAAGTCGATAGTGTCACAACATTACAAAATTTTTATTTTTAGGTACCACAGCACAAAAGTTGGTCTTGGGTTCTATATCTGACGCTTCAGTTTGGAGGTAGTAGAGTCCAGTACATTCTTTAGCAATGCTAATTGTCTTCCCCGTCTCCAAAATCTTAAATTCACATAGGTTAGGGAAGAATTTAGTGACACACTTCAAATCTTTTGTTAGTTTGCTAATGAACAGTAAATTATAGTTAAATTTAGGCACATAACGGACTGGCTTCAGGTTAATATTTTCTGAGATAATAGTTGAACCTTTACCCATGACTTTAGAAAGAGTCCCATCAGCTATCCGAACTATGTAATTATTGTGGCAAGGAGCATAACTTTTAAACACAGTTACGTCTCCGGTCATGTGATCTGAGGTTCTTGAATCAATGATCCATGACTTTGATTTTTTTGTGCTAATATTTAGAGCATGAAAAAAATTACTTTTTTGTGTTACTGCAGTTGTACCAATTGTTTGCTAGAGAATTTTCTATAGTGCTTCCATTTGTTCTTTGTTGTTCAGGTTTTTTGTCTTTTTTTCCTCTTTTCCATGAATAATCCATAGTATATCCCAATTTCTTGCAGTGATTGCACCAAGGCCGATTTTTCTTTTTAGATGGACGAGATTGGTTCCCCCTTCTGCCATTGCTGTGCCTTCAATGGGTGGGGCTGCATTTGACTTTCCAAGTATTACTTTCTTCTTGCTTTCCTCCCTTCTTACTTCCGAAAATACTTCTCGGATTGATTTAAGAGGTTTGGATTCAAGGATTCTCGCTCGGATTTCATCAAGTTTTGTGTTCAGTCCCAATAGGAACTTGTAGATCCTATCTTGCTCTACCAGTTCTTTATACTTCTTCTTATCCTCAACACAATTCCATTAAACATCTTTATATATGTCAAGTTGTTGCCAATGTCGGCTGAGTATTAAAATACTCAGTGATTGAGAAATTACGTTGTTGCAGTTCATGGAGTATGTTATTGATCTCAAATACCGCAGACGTATTATCCACATTTGAGTAGGTTTCTTTCACTGTATTCTACATGTCCTTGGCAGTGTCATACTACATGAAATTCTCCCCAATTTTATTGGTCATGGTGTTAAGTAACCATGACATGATTAAACTGTTTTCTAGTTGTCATTTGTTGAGGTTAGGGTCACTTTCTACTGGACACTTGGAGTCTCCGGTGATGTAACATTCCTTCCCTTTTTCTTGAAGGAAGATTTTAACTAAACGCATCTATTGAGAATAATTTTGGTCATTCAATTTGTGACCAGTGATAGGAAGAGCAGGTTCTTCGACTAAACTGGTGGCCAAACCTCCCGTCTTGTTCTCTTCCATGGTTGGCTGCGTTAGGTTAGGGATGATCTAGATCTAGCTTTGATACTATACGAAAAATATGTTGTGTATTTCTTATTTTGGAAAAGATACAAAGGAGGTATAAATAGAATTAATAAACCTATACACTAATTTATTCCTGAAAATCATGAAAATATTCTCCCTATAAATGTTGTATATAACTGTGTATAAATAACGAAATAAAACTAATTATATTATCGATAAATTCTATCATAATTGAATTATTTTAATTGATAGTATTGATCTCTAATAGTTATCTTCAATGATCACCTATTCACCCAGTGCAATATGTGTATGGTTCTAAAATCATTTAGTCATTAATTTGCATAACTTTCCACTCATTTTTTATGATATGTAGATTGACACAAAGAATATTCTCTTTATATGTGGTGGAGCATTTGTTGATCTTGAAAAAACCATTTCCGAGAGGTAATTTTTTATTTTTTGTCTCGAAAGAATATTTGTTCTCATATGATCTACACTGCTTGGTTTTTGTTAGACATTTCATCTAATTTTAATTTGTGAAATAAACCAGACGACAAGATTCTTCAATTGGTTTTGGAGCACCAATCCGTGCCAATATGAGAACTGGTGGAGTTACAGATGCCGCAGTTACATCATCTTTACTTGAGTCGGTGAGAATCGACTATGATTATCTGACTTGTTTTTATATTCACCTTCCTGTAAAACTAGATAGGTATACTTTGATCAATTCAAGCTAATAAACCTGTGCTATACCTATTCTATTGTGCACTTTTCATTCTTCGACAGCAGTAGAGAAAAACCCAGAAGTTAGGGAATAATATTATTATAGCCAACATTCTTCCAAATGCATCTAAAATTAGCATCTGTAATTTTCAGGTGGAAAGTACTGATCTTATTACATATGGTCTCATCCCAGAGTTTATAGGACGATTTCCAATCTTAATTAGCTTGTCGGCTCTAACTGAAGACCAACTTATTCAGGTATTATAATCATTGTTCAAATCTTTAGACCTTATTGTAGTTTTTCCTGCTTTAGTGCACCAAGGTCTAACTCTGCTTGTTGTGTTATTATGATGTTTTCTCACTCGTTGTTGACGCACATATATATAGTTGAGAAACCTTATGGTCTTTTACGCATATATATATAGTTGAGAAACCTTATGGTCTTTTACGCCTTTAAAGGCATTAAATCTCTACGACTATCTCCTATTGTGTAAGGGATTTTCTATATTATGTTTTCTTAGAAAGACCATTGCTCTTGGATTTAATGAGTAATATAATGAATGACTATATGACTGTGCAAGGTCTTGGGTCATATTGGTTTATGGGGGTGCAAAAGGATAAAAAAATAGGAAACGATACGGAAGTCCAGAATGAATTAGTAACTCAAGGGTATCATTTTGTTAAGATCTCCTAATGTGCACAAAATAAGCACATTAGACTCTTTCTGGTGGATCTATAATTTATCATCCATATATTATTTTTAATTGAATAGGAAGAAGTGTGCGACTGGCATTGAGAAATACAATATTTCTCTGGGTATGCTGCTTGCACAGGTGTATGTTAGTTTAAAATTCCAACTTCTTTGTCTTGTGGAATACTTCATTTTAAATTAAAACAGACAAGCCTATTTTTGAATTTAGAATAAATTTCTAGATTTTGCATGGATATCTGACCATAAACCATTGAAATGTTGATTTTACAGGTCCTCACAGAACCAAAAAATGCTCTTGCTAAGCAGTACAAGAAATTATTTAACATGAATAATGTAAGCAGTTCGTCCTTATTCTCTTTCCCGAATACATATTTTTTCTTCCTTATTCTCTTTTTCTCAAATACATATTTTTTGTTGCTGTGAGAGTTACTATGTTTGAGTGAACGTGGAGTAAAAACTCAAGCTGTAATCACTATATCTGGATCATCCCAACCAACTAAATTTGGATATTTAAAGAAGAAAATTATTCAAACTTTAATTTGGTTGAATTGAAGGGAAATTGACTAGTTGCCTATGGTTGAGCTAATCTAATAATAATTCAAAATATATCTTTTCTTTCAAATTATATAATTAATGCTTGGTTTCTCCCTTTTTTCCCGTGACACTTGCCACCTAAAGTAATATTCTTACTTTCCTTTTTTTTTTCTTTTTTTTTTTCTAACATTTTTCTTCATCTATTTTGTCTATTGTTGACTGTAACTTTCTTGAGTCGTTGCCTGCTTATATTATTTACCATTCTATGTAAGAACAGACTAGAAGTCTCTTGAACCCACTTGAGTGATTTAGTTATTCATGGTCTTTGATATCATTCGGTGTTATCTGCTGGGTCAAACCTGATCAGCTTGTTTCAGACTCATTAAAGCAACTTGATTCTATCCTTTCACCAATTTTAATTTTATGAACTTTTAATTTTGTTATGAGTGTGCAAGCGAGTAATTGGGTGTGTGGGCAGTTAGAGAGGTAAATTTGTCTGAAACTATATCCCTCAACTTCAGGTAAAGCTACACTTCACAGAGAAAGCTCTGAGATTGATTGCAAAGAAAGCAATGGCCAAAAATACTGGTGCCAGGGGTTTAAGAGCCCTACTGGAAATCATTTTAACGGAGGCCATGTTTGAGGTATGAAAGGGTCTTTTATATTTTTAAAATATATTTCTGTCTTCAAGTGTCGAAGATTCTGATTAGTCTCTCTGATCTTTAACTAATACACTGAATGCTTATATGCACCAGATTCCAGATGTTAAAGCAGGAAATGAACTGATTGATGCGGTTGTTGTTGATGAGGAGTCAGTAGGATCAGTAAATGCCCCTGGGTGCGGAGGAAAAATTCTCTCTGGCGATGGTGCTTTAGATCTGTACCTAGCTAATATGGAGGGTTCAGTGGTATGATGTTGCTACTGAATCCATGTCTGTTAATGCTTTAAATTTATTTTTCCGTGCTTGCTACCTGTCCAAGTTGCTTCGCGAACTCACTGCTTATAGAGTATTTTTTTTCATATAGATGTTTTCATTCATTTGCAGTATTGATGGGCCATGAGAATGTGGTAGATGATTTGACCCAATTTTCTTCTTGTATTGTAGGTTAACCATAACGTAGCTGAACCATACTTACAAGAGGGGGAATCAGAGATTTCATCAAGAGCTATGAGCATGTAATAATACTGTATGTACCACAAAGGTGTATAAATTATTATTGTTATTGTTGTCTGTAAAAATAACATTCATAATTTGCTGTAATTATTCCTTGTATAACGCTGTAGTTTCTGTTTTAAGTTCATTGAATAGGAAGGATATAGTTTGCTAATTTAGGCAGCACGTTAACCAAATTTTCAAATGATTTTGATGAAAATATATTGAGTCTTATTTTCATCTGGTAGTGGGATTCTTTAATACTCTTTATCTACGTTCTTTATTGGTTCAAATGTATGATCTCGCAGATTTGGAAATAAAATCCACTGTATAAATTTCATCTAAATAGGAAAGCACATTGGAAAAAGTGTTCGAGAACACTGTTATCAATTATCAAAGAATCAGTAACTAAATGCACCAGACTGATTACAGAATTTGATTTGGTTGCCCCTCCAACTGATTATTTTGACGAACGTTGAAATTAAATTATGTATCACACGAAAAGTTGATGCCTTTGATACAGATGTGAAAAGTCTAACCAAATGGGTAAATGGGTTACCTAAGTTTAAGCCATATGTAAATGTGAAGATTTAATTAGGGTGGAATTGAAATTCAGGATATCACGCAAATAGATTCTAATAAAAATAAATGTATCAGCGGGTGATTTTATACCATTTACGTTACATTAGGACCTTAATATGTTTTGTTATTGGATGACAGGGTGTGCAATCCCTTATTGAAATTTGTATGACAGTCTTAAATTAATAAATTAATTTGATGGTGTAGAGTAACTTTCTTGTGTTAAACCAACATTTTTTATATTTGATGAGATAGTTTTTGTCTCTTGTAGGCTGGAAGTGTTTAATATGTGGGAGGACGAGGTAAGAAAAGAGATGAAGGTTGGGTGGTATAGTTGAAAATATGTTCTTTTATTATTATAATATCAATTATGTTTAGAAAAAAATGTAATTTTTTTTATTCATATGTTCATATTTTGTATTTTATTTTAAATAATTTATTTAAAAATGATTTTTTAAAATATGTATTTTAATAATTTTTTATCTTAAAATATATTTTAAATAAAATTTCATCTTAAAATATTAATATAAATAAAATTAATATCTTTTAAATATATCCACCTATGAATACCGATAGCTTTTTGGTTGGCAAGGTGTGTTGAGAGGATGAAACTCTGAAATAGGCTTTGGAGATGTTGGAGGACATCCCTGGGGAGAATACCGAGCATGCCATTAATATCATCGTATCACTTTCAACTCAAATTCAAAACTTCATAGCATTAGATCCATGTATTTTTTTAGTTAAACTAATACATATTATATTTTCATTGGATAATTTTGGTTTGTAGATGCTTACAGAGGCTCATCAGGTGAAGAAGGAAAAAAAAAGATTATTATTCATGATCAGAGATAACAATTTTAATTTACAACTCAAATAACTAATATATATATATATATATATATAATCCAAAATAACACGTGATACTATAAAGTGTTATTTTGGAAGTGATTGGATTATTTTGGGATTGTTTGGGTTCTCAAACAATAACCACCTTTCTAACTTATTATTGGGTATGAAATATCAGAAATATATAAAACGAAAACTGCGACATGAGAATGAATGGTGGTCCTGTGGACTATAAAATTTGGAAGAGAGTCCTATTTGGCTTTAGAGTCGGAAATAAATTTCTCAACATCTTTGGTGGTTGGAAGTGCAGGAATTGCACCCTTCTGTGTTGTACACATTGCTCCACAAGCATTTGCAAAGGTCAAAGTCTCTCTCATTTTCTGTTCATTCTGCTCCAATAAAACAAAAAGGTGTCAGCCAATGAGAAGATAACAAACTCTAGTCTTGAAAACTAGCCATAGTCTGTGTGAGTGAGAGAGATACCTCAAATATGGAGCTGTCCCTGGCCACAGCTGTGAGAAGTGCACCAACAAAAGAATCACCAGCACCAGTTGTGTCAACTGCCTTCACTAAAAATCCAGTCACCCTTCCTTTGAATTTCTGCAGCCAAACAATATATCCAAAGATGTAAAATTTAGATTACAATATACCATAACATAAAAGAAATCTAGCTGAAATGTGTATCAACAAATAAAATCCTTCTTGAATATGTTAAGTTAAATTCTTAAACTGCATAAATGTAACCAACCAGTAATTATCAAATGTATTATCTCGGTTTCCTTCAGAAGATGTTTTATTGGTTCAATTTTGCCAAACAAACTCTATTTTCAAACACATGGGTGGATACTGGACAGTACCTTAGTGAAATATCTGCAACCCTTCTCTCCATCAGTGACAAGAAGCAACTTCAATTTGTCGTGCCACAGGGACATGACAACGTCTTCCTTCTCAGGATCACCTTGTGTTAGAAATTCAACTTCGTTATCACTCACCTACATACAATGAGCAATTTATTTATACAATCATTTGGACATATTTCAGCAAAAGCTACACGCTCTGAGAAAAAAATTGATACCAGGGAATCCTCTTGTTCTACTATTTGTTAACAAAAACAAATGGCCCATCGCTATAGAAAAATAGAACAAGTTCATGATCTAAATAGCTTTATTCTGTCACACACCCTTCATTTTGTTCTGGGCTTCCAGAAAATGTGATAAAGGTTTAAAACATGTACCTTGATGAAGTCCGCCTCAAACCAAATGCTCTTGATCCCAGATCTAGCAGCCTCCTCAGAAGGCCACAAAGGAAGCCTCACATTTGGATCATAGGAGAGGAAAGCACCATTAGCACGAGCAACTTTCATGGCAGCCAAGTGAGCTGATCTGCATGGCTCTGCTATCAGGCTAATGGATCCATAATGAAATATCTTACACTTCTTGATCAAACCCATGTTCAATTCTGACTCCGCCAGCATCATATCTGCACTGGGATTTCTGTAAAACATGAACTCCCTCTCTCCATCCTTCCTCAATGTCACAAAAGCCAAAGCAGTTTTTGCTTCCGTGTCAAAGCAAACACCATCAATGTTCACCTTGTTTTTCCTCAGAATATCAACTAGCATCTTTCCAAACTCATCATCTCCCACCTGTCGCATTGAAATCATTACTTTTTCTTTTAAGTGTAAAGTATAAACAACAAGCTTTTAGACAAAGGTCTACGAAAATTCGCCTGCAACATAATGGTTTTTGACATGTATCGAGAAACGTGGCAACACTCTGACACCGACCTTAATTTAAAACCTTGATAATAAATCATCTCAATGCAAGATGGAAAAAGAATGTTTGTGTGTAGAAATTAAGAACCTTGCCAATGAAGGCAGCATTGCCACCAAGTTTGGCTACGGCACAAGCAACATTGGCAGGAGCACCTCCAGGGGCTTTGATAAAAGCGTAAGACTCAGCCAAGGAGACACCAGATGAGTCAGGGACAAAGTCGATGAGCATCTCACCGAATGATATCACTAATGGATCTGCTGAGCCTGACATTCTCCTCTTTCTGTATGATATCGCTTCTGTTGTTGTTGATGTTCGTGTTTTACAAAATACTTCGCGGGCCAGACCTTAACAATGCTTCAGCAGGTGGCGTATTCGCGATTCAACGTAGATTTAGGAGTGTTAGTGGACAATTTTTGTTTTGTTTTTGCTGGTAGTTTATTTATTTAGATTTAACCAAGTATAGATTATTATAATTACATCTGAATAAGTTAATTAGAATTCACACACTTTTAAAAAAATAATGTTATTTAGTGATACAGTCTCACCTATTACAAGATTATTGAGTTTTATAATAATTATTATAACAGTTCTATCTATCATAGTTTTTAATGGATTGAGCATAATATTAAAGTTCACAAAGTTTGACCAAGTCAGTTGAAATTTTAAGCCATTTTTAGGCACCATCAAAAACACAAGTTTGATCCGACAATGAATGCTTTAGAAAAGGAACAATAAAAGTCACCACACAAACTAATCAAGTGGCCATTGTCCCTTAAATTTGGTCCATAGTTTCATACTCGACCCATTAATATAGCAAATGCTATTTTTGAGGTCTCAAAATATGCATACCCTCGTTAGATATTCATTGAATGTCGTCAAACATTGCTTCCATGGAGAAAACTGTTTGAGTGAATACCAAGAACTTTGATCCAAGGAGATTCTTATGAGTCTTATCCAACTAATCTTGTTTGGTCATCAATATTAACGAAAATTGAATCCAACCCATTCCATTGTTACACTGTGTTAAACAAAGTGAAATGGAGCAATAGGCAAGAGAGAAACAGAAGAAAACAATAACATCTTCAAAGCTAAATACCAGTCCAAAGTCCTTATTATATCCAACTACATCACCAAATCATGGAAGTCCTGTTTCCTGTTCGTGCTATAGGCACCCCTTCTAGATTTATTCAAAATTATAGTGCTTGTCCACACCAACAGACACATCCCAAGTGCAGCTCATTCCTTTGGGAAACACAACCAAGTCCCCAGCAGCAATTTCAACTGATTCATTTGACCCACTAGGAAAGACCTTCACTTTTCCTTCCAGAAGATAGCAAGTCTCTTTGGCTTCATATGTCCATGGGAATTTGCTTGGAGGGCATCCCCATCTGTCATACATCAAATGTGTCACGCCGAATCAGAGAGAGATCAAATACATTTGACAGAAGAAGGAAAGAACATAATTGGTTGAAAACATGAAGCTTAAAGTAGTATATATGTTGCAACTTCTTTATTAGAGTAAACTAAAATATAGCTTCTTTCAGCATTTCAGCTCCACCTAATTTGTTAAAGTGATTAAGTCATATGATTTCTTAAGTCATAACACAGACAACTTAACAAATTCAACTTCAATCCCATAGCACAAATATAATGAAAAGGCCATGAAAACCTTGGCACATAGCATGATTCATTCATCAAAAAATCTTAATCCAAACCTCGAAAGAAAAACGAAAAGAACAGCAACTCACAACCACTAAAATAATTGAAATCAAATGGAAAAAAAGAAGAAGTATTACTTAGGCCATTTTCTAACACCCAGTTGAGTGAGCTTGGATTCAGGAGGGTTCCTCTCAATCTTGATGCCAAGTTTCTCAATGACAGTAGTCATGCTCTCTGCTCTTGTTGTTAAGTGCACTCTCCTCCCTGTTGGAACTGCTCTGCTTACAGGAACAGATGAGTGTTTGGTTTGTGAGAAGTGGTTGGGAAACGAAGTACCCACAAATGATGATGCCATTGAACTGACCTTGGTTTGTGGAAACACTTTTCTGACCTACCTTGGTTGACAGAAAGATTCCACACAATTTCTATAAATTTCTCTTTTGTTTTAGTTCACTCATTTTACATCCTCTGCACTTTCTAGACAATCCAAAATTCTAGAAGGAAACTGAGAGAACTTTTTTCATTATTTATGATATCATATGTTTATATATCATCATATTTATAAATATTTTATTTTTTAGTCTCTATTTTTAGAAATAATTATATATCTTAATCTTTATACAAGTAATTTTAGATCTGTAGTAGTATCTATCATTGAGAAAAAAGTTAACTTGATAAACCAAAATAGATATCATATTGATTACGGTGTTAATGTGGTATGTGCTATATTATATATTTTAATTTATAAATTTATACTATTTTTCGGTTTTGATCTTTTACACTTTTTAAAATTTTTAAGTTTTAACCTTTACACTTCAGAAATTATTCATTTTAGTTTGTATATAAGTAATTTTTACATATTTTAGTTCCTATCAATATTTTTTTTTCTTCCTTTTCTTTCTTCTCCTTGTATTTTGTAGGTTTTATTTCTTCTAAATACTCTTACCTCAACTAATTCTTATAATTATAAGTTACGGAGTTTTAAAGTGGTAGAGTTTTGTCGAATTTTGTAAGTATATTTTTGTTTTGTGAATATATATATTATATATTTTTTCCATATAGTTTATTTATATATAAAATAAAAATATAATAAAATATCGAATATTAATTACATGTTAATTATAATTCTCTAAATAAAAATAATAATATAATATTTTTTAATTTTTTTTAGAAAATAATAAAAATATTTTAATACCTCATTTAAATAAAAGATAATAAAATAATATTTTTAACATTTATTTCTACTTTAATATTTGTTTATTTGAGTTTGAAATTCTTTCTATTATTTTTCTTAGAATTTTTTTTCCTTGTTTTTTTTACTTCTTGTCATCTTCCGTTAACTTTTTGATAAAGGTTAAAAATTGTTTCTTTATTTATATCTTTATTTTCTTTTTTAATATTTCTTGTATATCATTTTTTGTAATAAACTCTTATTTCAATAAAGCTAAAGTGAAATTTTGTCTTTCGTGTAAACTTTGAATATTTCTAAGTTATTTGCATCTTTAATCATACAAAATTTGTATTCAAAAAATATTTTATAACTTTTTTCTAATAATTAAACTAACGCTTAACAAATTATTATTAATATTAGGAACATACGAAATATCAAAAATTAATTTGATATTCCAGTTGACTTTTAACTGTAATTGTTCTCATATTTTTCACATCCATTTATTCTTTATTGTCAATTCTCACTTTAGAAATAACATATTTGATAAACTCTTTAAAAAATTTTCCATGAGTCATGTAGTATGTACAACTACTATCTTTAAGCAACATGTGGACTTATTGATTGTAGAACATGTTGATGTAAGGAGAAGTTCTATTTCTATTCCATCCTCTATAACCTTGATGACTTCTTTTGATTGTGTTTTGCATATCTTTCTATATATCCTAATTGACCATATTTGCGACATTTCACATTAGACCTCCACCAACGCACAATTGCAATATAAACAGAAAAAGTCCAATGCTTTCTTAGCCCAATATCCTTAACATATTTTCTATAAATATCAAAAGCTTCTAGATGGTATTAGTTGTATATTGTAACAATATTCCTTTATTTTATTTGCTTTTTCTTTGTTAATGTGTATAACATTGTATATATATTGTCCTTGTCCACATTGGGATAATGAGTGTATCATTTTATTTCATCATTTTATATAGTCTTTGCACATCTCTCTTCTCTTTTCTCTTGTATCATGGCAACTTCTATTTCTGAACCTGGGTCCCGCATAATTATCATGTCTAGTGAGAAACTCTCCCCTATCTTAGTCTCTCCTATCCTCTCTATAGTAACTACCACTCTTGATCTCGTTCCCTTCTCATGGTTCTTACTTCCAAAAACAAAATGGGGTTCCTTATTGGTTCTATTTCTATTCCAAGTCTTAATAAATCTACTTATCCTCCATGAGAAGGTTGCAACACGTTGCTCATGTCATGACTCATAAATTGTGTCTCTCCTTCAATTTCTCAAAGCATAATTTATCTGGACCATGTATTGATGTCTAAAATGACTTACGAGAACAATTCTCTCAGAGCGACCTTTTTCAAATTGCAGAGCTCTATGAGGAAATTTATGCCTTGAAGCAAGGCTCACTCATTGTCACATATTTTTTGTCCTTTTTCATCGTGTAAATGTCAAGCCCATGTTTACCATCAACAAGATTTTATTATCCGGTTTTTCAAGGGTCTTAGTGACAGATTCAATATTGTCCGTTCCCAAATTTTACTCATGGATCCTCTACCTTTTGTTAACATAGTCTTTTCCATGATCATTCAAAATGAACGTCAACATGTTATTAAATAACTTTGCTAATAATGTCGTTTCCTCTTCAGCAACATGGTAAAAATTGCGATGGTGGATCAAGCGAAGGAGGCGGTGGTGGCCAAACCCAACAAGCCAAATCTTCAAAGGTGTGTGTGTATTTATTGTAAGAGAACAGGGCACACTATTGATGTTTGTTATAGCAAATATGGTTATCCTTCCTTTATTACACTGCCACTGATGACCAACCTTCTATGCCACAAAAACCCTGTTGAACAACATCATGGATTAAGTCTTAACTTTACTCAACCCAATTGTTAGAATCGCGCAGCGGAATGTTTACGTGAACGGACAAAAACCAAGAGGGGGGTGAATTGGTTTCTTAACAAAAATTAGGTTTTAAAAATTTTCCCCAAATTTTACCAATTAAAATGTTGTGTAAACGTAAATAGAATAAGGATAGAGTCTTACACAGAATATTTATACTAGTTCGGATCAAAAGACCCTACGTCTAGTTGTTAATCACTCAAACAGAAGATTAATGTTGTCACTATAATCAAAGTTATACAAGAAGATTACAAATGAAAAGATAAGCTAACGAAAATACCTCTCTTGAGTCACACAAGAGATGAAGAACAGCTTTCCCTAGAGACGGCACAACACACAATCCACCAAGAACTCCACTTAGTGATTCTTATCGCTTCTAGCCTACACTAGGTTACAAAAGCCCATTTTTCCTCCAACAAATAGTTCTCTGGCAATCACAGCTCTCAACTTTTGTTTGAAAAAGGTTGTTCACTTTGCAGAGAGCCTTAGAGAACCTTAAGTAGATGAATTAGGGTTTGGAAATTGGGGATTTTCAAAACCTGGTGTATTAGGACTAGGATTTTTGAAACTTGGTCTAATTTTGAAGTTTAAAATGCATATCTGACTGAGATAATTGATTATCTTGAGTGTTAATCGATTATTATAGAGCCAAAATCAACAGGAACCCATAACGCACTGTTTTAATCGATTATTTGGGCTGTTAATCGATTAACAGCCCTGTTAATCGATTATTTCAGTTGTTAATCGATTATTCCAGAGAGTTGATACAGAAAATGATTTTTCTCTCTGTAATAATCGATTATTTGGCCTTTTAATCGATTAAACTAGTGTGTTTTTGATAATCATGAGTTTTTGAAGCTTCTAAAGAGTAGACTATGTGCTGACTATCTTAGACTCTAATATTACAGACTCAAAATCATCAAAATAGAGTTATTACACAAGAATACAAGTCTTCAACTCTCTAAGTCCATTGTTCTTGAATCATCATCAAAATCAATAAGTTTTATGTCCATGTAAGTTCAACATTCATGTCCTTGTATGTTTCAACAATCTCTCCCTTTTTGATGATGATCAAAATTTTCTTTTAAAGCCTTGTAATAACCTGTTTATCTGTCACACTAACAAAAACATTAAACATATCAGATAATATTTAAATTCAATCATAAGAGGCTTTAAATATTTCTCCCCCTATTTTAATTATGATAAAAAAAATTAAGAGCTCCCCCTCAAAATATGCATAACTTGGAAATAAATCCCCCTCAAACAAAGCAATAATACAAATTTTATTTCATTAATGAAAACAATTTACAAAAACAAGAAAACAGTATTAAAATTCTTCACTATCGCTATTAAAGTGAGCATCAAATTTATTCTCTAAGTGACACACTTTATTATCTACGTTGGAGATACGACGGATGATTTCCTCATGCCGTACTCCAGAGAGAGTGAAGAATGCTTGCATCCTCTGGTTCATATCAGATAACATGTCTTCCACAAATTGATGGGTTTCAGGAGGAGTAGAAGATGTTCCAGCATTTTGAATCTGATCAGAGGGAAACTCTGTAGCAGGAGGCATTTTTTCGTCAGAATCTTCATCATCTGCATCTATGTTCGAAACGGCATCCTTATGAACATAAATATTATTGACACGCACCATTTGAAGTTGGGTTAATGTGCTGTCCAACATTCGATTTAAGTTTGTCGTACGTACAATTTGTTCCCCTTCAACATTCACTCCTTTATACTCAAGAATGCGAGAGATAAGGAGAGCATAGGGAATTTTGAAAGTAGGATGACGTTTGGCCTTCAGCATAGTCATGGTGATAAGGCTTCCCCAATCTATTAGCTCATTATTCATTATTGCATGAATAATGCGAAGATCTATTGAAGAACATTGGACATGGTTGGTTGCCCGAGGACATAAGATCCAAACTAGTAGATGCAGGAGCAGGCGTTCCTCTTTCTTTAATGGTCCGGCTAGAAGAAGATGCCCAATCTCCATGGAAGAGTTGTGGAGAAAGGAACGGTAAGCCATGATCCTGTCAAAGTCATCTAACTCCGCAAAAATGTTAATAGCATCATCTCTTATAGGAAAATGTGCAACGTTTGCCCATATATCATCATCAAGAATAATTATTACCCCTTTTACACGAGAGGTAGTTATTTGATCTCTAAATTTAAAGCGAGAGTAAAATACCCTAACTAAGTCAGGATAGTATGTACCTTGCATTTGGATAAAAGGGAGAACACCTTGAATTTCA